TTGTTAAGTACCCACATATACTCAAACTGAACCAAGTAAATGTTCCTTTTGCATCGGACTTATGTCATATACACTTCAGAAAAATGTTGTCTATTTTAAAAATAGTAATCAAATTGTTAAATTTGACGTTATTTATCTTTCAGTAAACAGCAGTAATAAAATTTTCGAGGTAGCCGATTTAATTTTCCTTTCCATACGACAGTAAGTTTTTTCTCTTTTCTTTTTATCAAATTAATGTTTGGTGGAGATTTGAATCGGTTATTCAAACAGTCAATAATAAGATAAGTATGAAAAATAGTCGAAAGGAAAAATTCTATTCTGATATCCTCACATTTTGTCTGACTCACATTTTCATGGAAATGAAGTTATGTTGCAATCACTATGGCAGAAAAATTTTAATGAAAATAGTGCTATACACTTAACTAGGCAATTACTTTGCTCTACTGTTCGGAAAGCCTTTGATAATTACAGACACACTTCGCAAAACGTCCATTTTCTTTTTAAAAAACTTTTTATTGAACCAGTGAGAATACTTTATTGAAGATCAGTTTTTATATTTACATCATTTTAAAAAACGGTGCCTGGATAAGAGTTGAAAAGAGAGAGAAATAACTGAAAAAAAGATTTTTTTTTGCATCAACTGCAAATTTAAAGCAATAGCTTTGCTTTGTGAAAATACTGTGTGTGGTGTAAGAACTACATAAAGGTCTTTTTATCAAGCAGCAGGCCTTGTATTGCACTATGACTTGAAAAACTTGAATTTTATGTACGTTTGATAAATAATAATACTTCGTGGAAGCGCCTTTACTGGTCAAAACAATCCTTCGTTGACTAATTAGCAGGTCTTACTTATTACCTTCAGTAACGTGATATACCTAAACTCATTACTGCTTAATTTCCCGCGTCCACTGCTGCACCTGGGCTACGAGGTCTTTAGTGATACGTCTAGCTGAGTTATAACCCCCTTCCTCAGGGACACCCTTCAAATGTATCCCCACCAAAACAAAATGGTGGCGATTCCACATCCAGACAGGGCTTCCGCTCTGCCCCTTGGCCGTATCAGTGTCATAGAATATACGCCTGTCACTCACAGCTTGGACACGCCCACCGCCCAAGTGCAGAGACCCAATTGGCTTATCGTTCGGGTAACCAGCAAGCGAGGTCACCTGATTAAGTAAGTTGACGTCATCTATTATACTATACCCAAAACCAAACTCGTCCTGATTGTAATCAACGTAACTAGCGGGCAGCAAAATTGCTCCATAATCTTCTGATGCGATTTTATTATTGACGTAATTTTGCGACACCCGGAAGTGAGTCGGGTAGACTCTGTAGGCCCCCAGGGGAGCGCTGCGACCGTCCAGGCCCGGGTAGATGTCCAGGTATTTCACGTAGCCCCCGTGGGTGTGCATGTAGAGGTTGTGCCCGGCGGTGAGAATGAGACCTCCTTTCCCCGAAATCATGGATGTGAAGGCGCCTGTACCAGCGAATTTCTTCCCGTCACTGGCCGTCATCACGAGGTAGCAAACCCATCTATAGAGTAAAAAAATTAACAAGTATCAGATGATATTGCGCGGAATGTTATGCAAGTGCTAACAAGTATTCCTGTTTTGTTTGTCGAGTTCTTAATAAAAAAAAAATTGCCCAAAAAACATAAATGGCTTACAAGTCCATACTGCGTAAATCGGTGGCGTCTATCGGATAAGCTGTTTTTTTTTTTTTTCACAACTGGACTCATGATGTTTCCTCCCTGCGGCGTAATATTTGAATAACAGGCATATCAACACACACAATATAAAAAAATATGTAAAAGTATATCCTAGCACTGCAAAATATGAAACCTTTTTATTTGCATGTATAAAACAATTACCTATACGGCTGTGAAGTGCAGGGAGTAATGTGTATTCTTTCGTCTCCTTGTACTATACTCTCTGGCAAGAAACCTTGAGACATCATTGCAGAATTATTCAGCTTTTTATACTCGTTATCATCTACACCGTAAAATATGGCGCCCTCTAGTTTTGCGTCCTCTTGAACGTAAGTTGACTTCCGGGTTAAATGCGCATGCGGCATGTCACGTGGAGGGACGTGAGTTGGGATCCTTTCTGTGCTGAGACCGTTGGAAGACCTAATGTGAAGAGGTCCCGTGAGTTCGGGCACTGGAAAGATAGGAACCAGATGTCACTCATAACACAATCCAAGGTTTATTACAATTGGTGTAGTTCAACGTAACACAATTTGTCACACCAAACACAATTTGCAACTTGAAAATTTTGAAAAACGGTTTATTATTTCTGATTGGCCCGCTCAACACAGGAACAATGGCATATAAATTGTTGCTTACATCTAACACATTTCCATGCATTATAACTGTAACATTTATGTTGTTATCAGCAACAGCTAGCTAGAACATAAAAATGTATACAATGAAGTCTGTACTTCAGTGAATCTAGAAATAACCAAGTTAGCAAGCCATAATATTTCAATCCAGATTACAACAATGCCCATCAACCATAATCGCTTATCATCTTGATTGTGAACTGAGAATTTCTGTTGCTTTTAACATGTAAAAACATCGGTCAAAAGACATGAGCGTAATCCCTACCAGGTATCGCACCGTCGTTTAAATCTCTCACCACTGGCGATCTCTCTGGGGAGTGATCGTGCGCCCACGGAAAGGGGGAACCACCACTGGCAGGGGGTGCGAATCGCCGTACACCCCCTCGTGGAGTGCGGTCGTAATAGGACATTGTGCACGTCTTGTTTAGGAGGATCTGAAAGGAAAACTTGGGACATTAGACAGACGGCGGGGCATAATAAGTTGTACAAGCTAAGATATGCAAATGCAGATAAATAAAAAATGCATTATTAAACATGTAAAGAGAGAGAGAGGGAGAGAGATGAAACGTGCACTGACGTCTGTCTTTACCAAAACGTGAAATAACGAGGTTTTCAGATCCGCACTTTCAAACCGCAAGACATATATTTCTGACATAAGGAAGTTTCCACATTTTGATAACAACATAATACTGGCAACCTCAGTATAAACAGGGTTTTGATGACCGCTTTATACAGGCTCAATGCCAACCATGGAACAAGATGATTAATCATGTCTTAAAAGTCTGCCAATTTTTCGCCCACCGCCTCGGTAAACAGCTGCAAAATAATGCTAACGTGACTTCAAAGGATTCGCATGATATCCATCCAATAATAAGTTATGTTAAAGAACATGTTTTATGTTGCAGCATTAAGAGCAATCTCCCTGGCAACCGCCATTAGATAAAATGTACTGCGTTAATTAGGTTTAACATGCCCCTTTTCATTACCCCATGAAGAATACATTGGTGGCACTTTTGTTTATCGCTAAGCTATGGATGTCTGCTTGAAAAAATTACATTAGGAAAGCGTAATCTTTGTGGTCCATCCCCACTGCCGGTTTCTGTCTGAAATTTAAATAGTGAACACCACTCTTATTGATTATCCGGTTACTCTAAGACCCCATTCCCAGAGATTAGATCGATCCAAACTAGATCGACCTTACTCCCTGGAGGTTCACGCTAAATAGCTGTCAGCCAAGCGGGCACGAAAGTTAATTACCCCCTTACAGCTTGCAGTAGGCGGGACGGACATTTAAGCCGGATTATCTGACAGTAATCTAGTGAGACTCCCCACGGGGATAGATCGATCTAAATGTCTGGGAATACGCCCTAACTACAACGTTAACAACGACACAATGAACATGTACGTAACTCTCTCTCTCTCTCTCTCTCTCTCTCTCTCTCTCACACACACACACACACACACACATGCCAATGTAACTCTCTACTAGTCTGCTGCCACCCCCTCCACCAACTACGAATACCCTGTTTAAACCCATAAATTTCATTTAATAAGTCTCAGTTTGTGAAATAAATACGGAAAATAGTTTTATTCACCTCAGGCTCGCTCCACTTAGCCCTGTGTAGTACATAATTCATACGGACTGTGACACAAAGCAACAGGGGGGAGGGGGTCTGCATCTTCCGCTTGTTGACAATGACAATAAATTAAAGAAGAACAGAGTGAGCTGTTTACACCTCACACAGGGCTGACACCGTAATTAATAGCACTGGCACCTATATGTTCTCGAGTACCAGTGTCGGCCCTCTGACACCTGTTGTGCAGGCCAGATGGTTAACTGCTCCTTCCAGGTGCGAGTGTTTTGGTGGTATCGATCCCTGGTCAGTTTGTTACAGGGTCGACTAAACAACAATGTGAAAACCTACCCCCCCCCCCACACACACACACTCATACGCACGCATTCTCGCGCGCGGTAGAAACACAAAATGTATTGCCTCACTTCAACCAAGGAGTTATAACTCCTTGCTTCAACACGAAGCAGAGTAGGCTTAAGACCTGGAACTGCGACATCCCTGATTTTTGCGGTCAGACCAAGGGCCCACAAGGTCAAAGGCAACTAATGTATCTTATATAATGGCCATATTGTGTGGCCTTGCGTGTATTCTGTTAAATGATTCCTATTGCCTAACCACAATATACGACACGAGGCACCTCATATGAAAAATAACCAGTTATTACGTATTTGAGATGCACTGGGATTGGGACACGACTCACCTTATACAGTGACACAGAGATACGAGTCCAGCGGGCCAGAAGATCCCATGCAGGCACAGTTTAATAGGGTATAAAGACCTTGGCGCATCTATAAGAGCCTCTCGATATTTATCTGACCTATCTTCAAATATATTCCACTTCCGCAAACCTTGTCCGTTTATGTCACAATACATACCACACGATACCGAAAATGTTAATTAACCTCATTTTCAATACTTAAACAGTATATCAATGACTTTAACAATAGCCTGATAACGAGATCATTGACTGGAGAGTGAACCTGATGCGCATAAGGTATGCAACATGGCGCCTCGCAGTAATATCACGCTATATGCTTCTCTGATTTTGAATTAATGTATATAATGACATTTGAGAATGCATTAACATCATGCGATATAATCAATATACACGACAATTAAAAGGCAAAGGCATAGGGCGATGAAAATTGCTGATGACGACCAGGTAAATACTAGTATGGCCAACATACTGGTACGTAGCCTTGCAATGTATGGTACCTGCCAAAGGTATTAGGGACTATTTCCATACCCTCTCGTACTAACTATGGATCGATCTCTGATCTATTTCCGAGGGGATTTTCACTAAATTGCTATCAACGGCTTGGGTGTCCGTCATGTCTACTGAAGCTGGTAATTAATTATCATTGGCATCTTCAGTAGGCGCGCCAGACATATAAGCCGTTTAAGCTGTAAGCAAATTAGCGAAAAACCCCTCGGAGATGGATCGATCCTGTAAGATCGATCTAGGTCTGGGAACGCAGTCTAAGTAATTGAGTGTCACAGGTAATTAAATGTAATTAGCCATATTGGCATAAAGCGTAAGTTTATGTATGTAGCTTAGTTAAGATAGACGAGGCATATGAGTATTGCCAGAATTATAATAGTGGTAGCTAAATTAGTCTTTAACAGGGCGGGATACGGGCGGGGAGGGGTGTGTGTGTTTGTTACTCTTTTTTAATCCTTTGAACCTGATATACATTATGATTTGTTGACGTTTTTTCATCTGTTGAGGGGAAAAATATGCGATCATTCTTAAAGAATGGGATTAATCAGAAAAATGAAATTTAATGGTATGGAGTGAAAAAGAATAAATTGACGAATGTGAACTAAAATTAAATAAACATAGCAAATTATGAAATACGACAATCGATTTGCTTGTAATTAACAAACAAAATTGGAAATTTATCAGAATTATATTACTTAAATACGCAATTTTTCACGTAATTTATCTAATTAGTTGCTTGAAAATATTACCAAGATCGAGCATATGGACATCCTAATGGCAGCAAAACCAAAACAAATTTTGCAAACGTGATTTATACGAATGAATAAAAAATGCTGAAAAGATGGATTCGACATAGGGCGATCAATATCGTTTTATTTAGACGGAGCGTGTCGCGTCAATAATTTGCCCAAATGTATTTTCCAATGTTACTTACGTAAATACAGTATATGTGAGTGTCTAGATCTACTGACACACACGCCAACCCCAAATCAGCGGATCTTTTTTTCTATTTTGGTAATTCCTTCTGTATATGTGCACTGTGAGTGTGAAACTATCTGTAATTTAACACGAACGAGATGATAGCAAGGGGTCGACAAACCATAGGAACAGGTTGCCCTCCCTAAACAATGAACTAAGAGAAGGTTGCTCTTTAACGCCGTTGCGACCTAAAAATAACAATGCGCAATGAATTGTGTTAGAAAATTTCTAGTGGGCCGCCCCAAACTTAACGCTTGCCAGATTCTCCTGTTCGGGTAGGCTCTAATGTGAATACTATCGTGAACGCTGGAGATGAAGCTATACGCACTCCATTTACTGCCTGCAAAATAAATTTCGCATTGTATCACGATCATTATTATCAAAGATCAGTAATGGCGTCCGTATTAATGACATGCTTAACACGTTTAACAAGCGACAACGCGTCATGTATTAGACTCAGGTAACTGTCAAAGTGACCCCAGGTCAGGTTTAAAATATAATAGTTAAGGTGGAACCAGTTATTTTTTTAAACGTCAAGGATTATACATTTGTGAATTTTAGAGAAGCTGCAATTTGAAAAATGTAAATACAGTATGCAGTATGCTTAAAAAGCTCTAATAATCTGGGAAAGTGGGAACGAACAATTTAATATTAAATAATTATATTCACTAAAATTTAAGCTAAATCCTCTACTCTTTATTTGTAATGTGACTATATCCATTTTATATGCACTGATGCCATGTATGATCTTTAATTATAAGTTTTCTATATTATTTAGATTAGTTGAAAAAATCGGAAGATCAAAGTTGTAATTTTGTTCCACGCTCATAAATAGCTAATCCCGCAAAGGGTATAAATAGTCTTCCAGACCAACCTCAACCTGAAAGAATTAATGAAACGGGGGTGGCGGAAACCACCAAATAAATCGGAAATTTCTTTTTCGTCATCCTGTAAACAAAATCAGTGGCTATTGTTGTGACAGGGCCCTTCCCTCTTTCTCTCCGTCCCTGCCCAGGATCCAATCTAGCCCCGTTCATTCAATGGTAGTGAACCGTGACGTCGCCACCCATCGTATTTGATTTCACTGATTTTATCCTACCTGATCGGTCAAGTCTTCTATATTTTTCTCCATTTTGATATACATTCCCCCATACCTTTACCTTATCTACATGTACATGTAAGTAATTAAAACTGTAAATAATATCATCATTATGAATTGAGGGGGTTCGCCCAAGAATCACTCATGCATGCGAGTATTTCCTCCGGCTGCAACGAATGGCTTCGTGAGAACAAATCTGATTTGGAGAGATAGAGAGCGTAATGTATGTGTGAGAGAGAATGCAGAGAGTGCATAAGTATGTGTGTATCCTCTACCAGGGCCACAGATTGATTTTTTCACTAGATATTCGCAAATATGTCTCTTGTTAATCGATTGCACATTTCTGCACTCACGCTAGAATCCAAAATCCTAGACTCACGTTTGAGAAAAGTGTCCATTATTATCTGCGGCTAGTAGAGGTGTGTGTGTGTGTGTGTGTGTGTGTGTGTGTGTGTGTGTGTGAGAGAGAGAGAGAGAGAGAGAGAGAGATACAGATACATAATATGACTGCAAAGAATCCACCGACAAGAACTTATTCAAACCCATAGAATATTACAGATATAAATATAAAAACATCAATACAGGACAATTGTACATCCATCTTACCTGTGTCGGAATAGAGCCAATTCAATTATCAGATATCCCTCTTGATAATAAGACAACCTTTTCTTCTTTTTTGTACGGATTGTCCTAAAAAGTCGGAGAGTAAATTCCTTTGCTTGGTCTTCACCGTGTTATAAAACCACGTCGGTCCCACGCAAGTTCAGATATAGCTCAGGCTAAATTTAGCCGCAGACGACACTCGTGTTATGATAATGGGGCTATGGGAACGCTTGAAGCAACACGTTAATGACTGTCAACCGAAGGAGGTGACCCTCCATTTAAACGCACTGACAGGAATGAATGAGTCACCCTACACACCTTTTGAGAATATCGTCTGCCAACTGGTACACTCCGCTCTCCGAGTAAGGTCTCGATTTCATGGTATAAGAATTGCGCTCGTATGTTTGGGATCGAGGCAATAGAGTGGAAAGAGTCTTCGTGTACACCGGTTCACGTATTACGTAGATAGGTGTAATATATCTGCTCATTTTCTTTTATCCGCCTATATAAATGAGATTAATGGACTGACTTTGTAAAAGGGACGCATGCTAGGTGATTAACTAAGCATTAGCGGAATAATGCCGTAAATAATGTTGCTAAAATAGTGTTTGGACTGACATCCCCTTGCTAAGGTTAAGGTCCAAGAAAAGTGCCGTAGAAGACGCACTTCCAGCTTGCCTTGTTTGGCAAACGTTTCTTTTTGTGACGTAAAATGACACACCTTGCAGGCAAGAAGTGCCGGAATGTGTCCTTTGTACAGGGTACATTTGTTGTTATTGATGATAATTTAATACATAAGTGATACTGAGATAAAATAAAAATGAAGTCAATTTTTATCGTTAATGCCAAGTTTTTTTGCATCGCAATTAGGCAAGGTGTTTTATTGCTGACAGTAACTTTGTTATATTCTATCTTTGAAACCTCATATACGTTAAGAGAAAGAAATAGAAAAGAAAAACATCGAATTCGGTGGGATCACACGCACACATGTAACGTTGTGGGATATATAATAATTCACTCTGAAAAAAAAAAAACATTCCGGTACATTACTTAAGAATGACAAAATAAGGTTAAACTAACTTTAGGATCTGAATTAAAAAGTACGATCAAACGGAAATAATTCGCTTTTTATTTGTTTGAGGATAAAAGATTATCCGCTCAAACAAACGCATAAGTTTGCAGTACAGCTCACCTGCATTGTGAATAATCATATAATAATGGTGGTAAAAAGGCCGTGCTCCAGACGTGTCTAAAAAAAAATCAGAAATATAAAGCTACCTAAAATATCCTTATTGAAACCTCGGCTTGGAAATTACATCACGCATAAAACAATATATTCTAAAGGATTTCAGATTTAATTTTCCAAGAAATGTTGACCTTTAGCTGATATTCTGACGTCATGGTGAGCACACCTCGTGTCATGCCATGACACGCCCTGTTAATGAAATGACGTTCCTCTTTCTTCCTAAAACAATGACAAATATCAGGTATCACTGATGTATTGCGAAACTTGTTTTTTTTTCTCATTTTGACTCTTCTGAAATGATTCTCGACTCAGAAATTAATTGCGTTAACCCTTTCTTCAACGCCCCTCAGCCTACACTCATACACACACGCGCGCGCACGCATGCACGCACGTACACGCTCTCTCTCTCTCTCTCTCTCTCTCACACACACACACACACACTCACACACACTAAAATAACATAAAACGAAAAAAAACAACATAAATCTGGAATCAACTGCCCTTTTACATCCGTCTCATGATGATTTGGATTGTGTGTGAACCCGTATAGTCTTTAGGCATGTTTGATGATTATGTTAAATCTTATTGCTGATTAATACCGGAACTACACTAGCTTTGTTACCAATCGAGACAAAATATTTACATGTAGGTCCTATAGTATGCTGTGCATATTTCTTTATTCACATTTTTCATTATTCATATCATTTCTGATATATTATTGATCAATACATTCTTTTCTTTAATCTTGCTATAATTTGTCATTTGTCTCTTTGTACATTGTTTGTATATTTTATATGCAAGTTGTATTTACTCTCGGGATATTACAGCGCTGGTGCATATATTAAATTTACATTTCATTTCACATCCGTTTAAATTACACATACAGATAGATTCATATTTCATTTTGCCTGGACTAAACGCAGTGCAGCCAGGTTTCACACCACGATCATCCCTGTTCAAGAAACTGTCGCTCTTTCCTGACTAATGCCAGTTACTTTCCTGCCTGTGAAGTAACAGTACCCTATGAGAGGTTGCTTCCACACAGGGATTGAAACATGGAGTTCCAAAGAAAAAAAGTTCATTTAGAGCCAACCCTAGCAAACATGGACAGGAGAGACTGCACATGTTCCCTCACGTGCTTTTTAGCACCCCTTCCTCATTTTGACATCCCGGATCAAACTTCTGTATGTTTTTTCCCCTTTTCTACATGTAGTTGAATTTGTTTTCATTGATGTATCGAGGTCACAGGCTGCCCTAAAGTCACGCAACGCTATTAATTTTTACGGGAAAGTTGCAAGGTCGTCTTATTTTGATTAGTCTTTCTCTCGAACTGCCAACAAGGATCATTACAAGGAACACCACACGAAGGAGTCGAAATATGCCATTTCCAAACAGTCATTGGTAGTAGTGCTGCTTAACCACGTATACAGTCTGTAACTAGTTCAGTCTCAGTTCAGTATCTCTTCTTCGACTTCTTCTTCACTTCAGTTTTATGACAAACATCAATAATTATATAAATGAATCATGAACTGTTGAAAGTAAACGGAATTCATTGCTTAATGTCGCACCATTGCCAATATGTGACCGCTAAATTTATATTCATTATATTGATAATTACTTCTTCTATAGGCCCTGGGATGCAACTTGTATAACGGGAAACTACATTACATCTGAAAATTCATTTTTGATTTCATATAATGGCAATAAATAACAAGATACCAGTACAGCGTTGATGAAGCCTATTTGATATATTGCCAGAATACATAACGTTCCGACGTGTCGGACAGGATTTCATTTCAGGAAAGTAACTCAACTGGTGTGCAATAAGGGAACAGAATGCGAAATGCCTGTTTTAAATAAAGCAAATATGTCGCTTAATAGCCAAGATGTGATGTAGTACAATACGTGACATATGCTTGTCTACACCATTAAAGCTTCTTAAACTTTATTAGGATAGTGTAATAGGGAGCACAACCAAAATTAATTTCGTGGATTGTTTCGGACCAAAATTTCCTTTGCCTGTTTTTTTGCGACCTAATTATATTAGCTCAAACGTAAACAACCGGCGAATTGATTTTTTTGTCTTTCACATGAGAGTGTTAAATTTGCAATTCTAGCTTAAAAGAGAAACCATACAAACCGGATGTCTGGTTGTTTTTACGTCCCTCTCACGTGAAATGTTTTGAAACGTAAATCCCCTCTGTGCATGAATTTCGCTTCCCAAAATTTCTCCCATGCAGAACCTTTCAGTCTGAACACATTATCTATGTGTGTGGTTTATTACATCTGTACTGATGCAGCAAGTTTACAAACATGTAATATCTTTTATCACGCATTCAATCCAAATCTTGTCTAATTTTGCATGACGTCAATTTATTTCTTGCTCAATTTCAGATGCCAAAGAAATCTATTTCAGTCAACATGAAAGAATGTTTTTCATTTGTTCCGTTTTGTACCTCTGATAGTAAGCTTTTTAGCCAACAGGGTTCATAACTCTGCCCATAAACAGAACGGTGCCCGATGACTTCTCGCGAATCAGGAAGACGAAAGGCCGGTCAGCTCGAAAGACGGGAGTCACTGAAATCATTGACCTGAAAGCCACGCCTATAGCTGTGGCAGCCGCCGCCTCGGTTCCTTCTTCGTTGACGTCAACGAAAGCCTCGTGGATCGCCTTGGAGACGAACAGATCTCCTGGTTTCCCGCCAATTCTCGACAAATCAGCGCCGCCTAGGTTGAACATCTTTGACATTCCCATTTGAATAAGGACGGGCTTCAGATCTAAGCGCATGTCGCTCAGCTTAAACTTAGGTAGGTACACATTGACTGTCTGGTTCCACATTGTTGACAATGCGTCATCCACAACCGATGCCCTGGTCAGTGATCTTTCCAGATGACCAAGGTCATCAATTTGGTCCGGGAGGAAGATGACCATACTAGCGTCACCATGGTAAGGTAGTTCCAAAATTTTGCATTTCAGCGAGCGACTGATTCCATACGGGAATTTCTGCTTTTGGAACATCATTGGCACGTTCACCTGGTTCACGTTGGATGTGAAGAAGGGTTGGGGACGGGTGCTCGACTCCGCAAACTTACTGGTCCAAGTTCCCTTAAAATATATGGCGTTCACCAGGATTAGGATGAGCTGCGGATCGATGAAGTTATTTGGCAGGAGGTCGACTATCTTGTTATTTGTCTGCTGTTCTACCCAATTGTTGATGTACCTGGTTGTGGCGGAAGGTTGGCTAAAGTCCTGTAGATCTAGGGGAGCATCATAGTACCGTCCACTGTCATCAATGTACTTTTGATTGAAGTTAAACCCTTCTCTTCCAAAGAGTCGATTGGCAATACGGAGGAGATATTCGGTACCTGGGTTGGTTAGTCTGGTGCGGAGGAGTTTGAAATTTGTATGGATGGAAGGGATATTGCTGTAACCCATCACTCCTTTCATCTCTGATCTAGTGTCACCTTTAGCGCCGAGAAGGACCATGCTTAAAGCAGTCGTGATGCTGAATGGACTGAAGAAAAGGTTACCGGAATCGGCCTTGAGAATCTGGTACAGCTTTAGGGCGAAGTTGGTATTACTGGCAACAATAAGTTGTTCAGTTTGGGTGGCATCCTGGCCTAGTGTGTCCAGAGACCAGTTGCTTATGACCACCAGCAAACAGGCAAGAAAAACTGCTGACCTGACTAATGGATGCATGATCACCCGACCAGTTTTGTCTGAAACATACCAAATTTATAATTTCATCAATACGTTCTCATATTGAATACACATGTATATACGTAGAAAAAGACAGATACCCGCATACTTGTACCATACAGTAAATAAAAGAAAGCCACACCAAAAGATGCATATGCTCAAAGTGTAAGGAGCAAACCTACCTTTCAACCACGAAGGGACCTTAATGGCAGTCGTAACTGGGACACATGGACAGGATAGTGTGGCTCTTTATATACACACATGAGCTTAATCAAAACAGGATACAAGAGTAAAAGCTGTTTCCTCATAATTTGTTTCCCTTCCGCCAATCCCATTTTCGTTCATTTATTAACGATAGAGCTTTGTTTTTTTAACCCTGCTTCTATCAACCCCGTGTTTAATGTAGTAGAATTTTTGGTGGCCAGTAGGCACTTAATTGCAATCCAGCCTATATGCTTTTAGGCGCCTATAATTCAGCTCCCAGTTGAGTACATGTATGCAGGCTCATTCAACTTGGAGATAAATGAGAGTCCAGTGTTTTGGCGGGAAGGGGGGGGGGGGTGCATTGTAGACATAATATGTTTTCTAAAAGAAATGTTACAACAGATGTAAAAACAGATGTGGGATCGACCATAAACATCACGACTAGAGTACAAATATGAGGCAGTCACGTCACCAGCTGTCTCACGAGCGGACAGTACCAGGCACGTCCTCTTACTTAATCTCCGGTTGCAGGACAAATCGTGATAGGGTATGGGCTTACAGGGGTATATATACTTTTATTTTTTGGTTTTAATGGATATCTGTGGAATTCTGTTGAGTGCTGTGGTTATCCTAACATCCTTTATAGATGAACTGAAACAAATTGATAGGTACCAGTATGTAAAAAATAATAAGAAGAAAGTCAATATTTTTGTTTTCCTTTTCCCAAGGAAAAGTTATTTGAGCATTTGTCAAAATTTTCAAGAGGCAAACTTGTTTTCTTTTTGTATCTGAGCTTCTATGAAGAGAGGGACTCTATTAAAACTCGGATAGCTGTATCCAGGGTAAAGGCCAGTGAAGTCTGTTTAAAATCAGTATGAATGAGTCAAAGGACGCCAGTATTTATAAGTTAAAGGTTTTTAATCAAAAGTTCAATGATTACTGTTCCAAACATCATTTTTGTCATTTACTGGGAAATCGTGTATATTTCAGTGGAAATATTTTCGACGCTGTAATTTAAGATAAATTGGAATCACCCAAGACAGTCCTTAATCTCTTGAATTCACGAAAAACAAGCGAAGATTTCGTGATTCAGTTGTGTGGGGCCTGAAAAATGTCAGACGATTACACGTAGTGATGCGCTTGAGCGAATAAAAACTGACAGAATTCATTTACTTATGTATTTTGGCTGTTTCCTCTTTAGTCCTGCCAAATAGCAGTCTACTTCACGGTAACTAAAATCCGCCATGTTCTTTTTGTGTCAGTTTTGTATTAGCTTTTACGATTACATTCCCAGCAAAATAAGTTCTCACTTATCGCCTAAAAGACAACCCCAATTCAAACATTTTCAAGCAGTCTTTCAAGTCTTCTAGTACTACGTATGACGGCATGCGCACTGCCATCAGCCTCTTTTTAAGCTATCTCGGTTTATGCCTACAGGTATTAAACTGACTATTTATTCAAATTGACCGCATTTCCAGAGTAAACAATTATTAAAATTCTGTTTATGCTAAACGTTGGTATATAACTTACTCTTTTTGTGTCATAACAAGTTCGGTTGTCTGGAAAAATATTATATCATCCATTATGCAGATAAATCAAATAAATCATGTCAATTTATGCAAGAAGTAATTTTATTTTTTATTTCATTTCAAATGCCAAAGAATTCTATTCAAGTCAAGAAATTATGTAATTGTTCAAAAAAATCACATATACTGTTGACAATGCAGTTTATGGAGCATACGTTGGTATACATACATGCATACATTTTAAATTACAACTGACGAAAAAACATATTGTAGACAGCGAAAAAGGATGTCTTCATTGGGTTTCCAGTTCGTCATTTTGCATTTTAGGCAAGAGGGTTCATAACTCTGCCCGTAAACAGTACGGTACCCGATGTCTTCTCGCGAATCAAGAAAACGAAGGGCCGGTCAGCTCGGAAGTCAGGAACAATTGAAATCGACTCAAAAGCCACGCCAATGGCCGTAGCAGACGCTGCCTCGGTTCCTTCTTCGTTGACGTCAACGAAAGCCTCGTGGATCGCCTTGGAGACGAACAGATCTCCTGGTTTCCCGCCAATTCTCGACAAATCAGCGCCGCCTAAGTTGAACATCTTCGACATTCCCATTTGAATAAGAACGTGCTTCAGATCTAAGCGCATATCGCTCAGCTTAAACTTAGGTAGGTACACATTGACTGTCTGGTTCCACAATGAGGAGATTGCGTCATCCACAACTGATGCGGTGGTCAGCGATCTTTCCAGATGACCAAGGTCATCAATTTGGTCTGGGAGGAAGATGACCATACTAGCGTCACCATGGTAAGGTAGTTCCAAAATTTTGCATTTAAGCGAGGCACTGGTACCATACGGGAAACTTTGTTGTTGAAACATCATTGGCACGTTCACCTGGTTCAGGTTGGATGTGAAGAACGGTTGGGGACGGGTGCTCGACTCCGCAAACTTACTGGTCCAAGTTCCCTTAAAATATATGGCGTTCACCATGATTAAGATGAGCTGGGGGTCGATGAAGTTATTTGGCAGGAAGTCGACGATCTTGTTATTTGTCTGCTGTTCTACCCAATTGTTGATGTACCTGGTTGTGTCGGAAGGTTGGCTAAAGTCCTGTAGATCTAGAGGAGCATCATAGTACCGTCCACTGTCATCAATGTACTTTTGATTGAAGTAAAATCCTTCTCTTCCAAAAAGCCGATTGGCAATACGGAGGAGGTATTCTTTTCCTGGGTTTGTCAATCTGGTGCGGAGGCGTTTAAAATTTTGATGAATAGAAGGAATATTGCTGTAACCCATCACTCTTTTCATCTCTGATCTAGTGCCACCTTTAGTGCCGAGAAGGACCATGCCTAAAGCAGTTGTGATGCTGAACGGACTGAAAAATATGTTACCGGAATCGGACTTGAGAATCTGGTACAGCTTTAGGGCGAAGTTGGTGTTACCGGCAACGATCTGTCTTTCAATTTGGGTGGCATCCTGACCTAGTGTATCCAGGGACAAGTTGCCTATGACCACCAGCAAATAGGCATGAAAAACTGCTGACCTGACTAAAGGATGCATGATCACCCGACGAATTTTGTCTGAAACATACCAAATAAACATACCAAATAATTTCATCAATACATTCTCATATTGAATACACATGTATATACGTAGAAAAAGACAGATACCCGCATACTTATACAATACAGTAAATAAAAGAAAGCCACACCAAAAGATACATATGCTCAGAGAGTATAGAGCAAACCTACCTTTGAATCACAAAGAGACCTTAATAGCAGTTGTAACTGGGACACATGTACAGGGTGATGTGGCTCTTTACACACACTTATGAGCGTAGTCAAAACTGGATACTAGAGTAAAAGCTGTTTCCTCTTAATTTGTTACCCGTCATCCAATCCGATTTGCGTTCATTTATTTACGATAGGGCTCTGTTTTTTTAACCCCGGTTCCATTAACCCCGTGTTTAACGTAGTAGTTTTTTGGTGTGGTTTATATGGCCAGTAGGCACTTAATCGCAATCCAATATATGTGTTTAAATAAAAGGCGCCTATAAATTCAGCTCCCAGTTGAGTACATGTATGCAGGCGCATTCAACTTGGAGACATATGAGAGTCCAGTGTTTGGGTGGGGGTGGGTGGGGGTGGGGGTGGGGGTGGGGTTGCATTGTAGACATAATATGTTTCCTAAAAGAAAAGTTACTACCGATAAAAACAGCAGTGGGATCGACCATTAACATCACGACTAGAGTACAAATATGAGGCAGTCACGTCACCAGCTGTCTCACGAGCAGACAGTACCAGGCACGTCCTCTTACTTAATCTCCGGTTGCAGGACAAATCGTGATAGGGTATGCCCTTACAGGGGTATATATATTTTTTGTTTTTGGTTTTAATGGAGAACTGTGGAATTGTGTTGAGTGCTGTGGTTATCCTAACATCCTTTTTAGATGAACTGAAACAAATTGATAGGTACCAGTATGTAAAAAATAATAAGAAGAAAGTCAATATTTTTGTTTTCCTTTTCCTACGGAAAAGTTATTTGAGCATTTGTCAAAGTTTTCAAGAGGCAAACTTGTTTTCTTTTTGTATCTCAGCTTCTATGAAGAGAGGGACTCTATTAAAAACTCGGATAGCTGTATCCAGGGTAAAGGCCAGTGAAGTCTGTTTAAAATCAGTATGAATGAGTCAAAGGACGCCAGTATTTATAAGTTAAAGGTTTTAAATCAAAAGTTCAATGATTACTGTTCCAAACATCATTTTTTTGTCATTTACTGGGAAATCGTGTATATTTCAGTGGAAATATTTTTGACGCTGTAATTTAAGATAAATTGGAATCATCCAAGACAGTCCTTAATCTCTTGAATTCACGAAAAACAAGCGAAGATTTCGTGATTCAGTTGTGTGGGGCCTGAAAAATGTCAGAGGATTACACGTAGTGATGCGCTTGAGCGAATAAAAACTGACAGAATTCATTTACTATGTATTTTGGCTGTTTCCTCTTTAGTTCTGCCAAATAGCAGTCTACTTCACAGTAAGTGTGTCAGTTTTGTATTAGCTTTTACGATTACATTTCCTGCAAAATAATTTCTCTCTTATCACCCCAATTCAAACATTTTCTAGCAGTCTTTCAAGTCTTCTAGTAGTACGTATGACGGCATGCGCACTGCCATATCAGCTTCTTTTCAAGCTATCTCGGTTTATGCCTATTAAACTGACTATTTATTCAAATTGACCGCATTTCCAGAGTAAACAATGCTTTTGTTATTAAAATTCTGTTTATGCTAAACGTTGGTATATAACTAACTGTTTTAGTGTCACAACAAGTTCGGTTGTCTGGAAAAATATTATATCCCCATCATGCAGATAAATCAATTAAATCATGTCAATTTATGCAAGAAGTAATTTTATTTCTTATTTCATTTCAAATGCCAAAAAATTCTATTCAAGTAAACGAGAAATTATGTATTTGTTCAAAAGATTTACATATACTGTTGACAATGCAGTTTATGGAGCATACGTTGGTATACATACATGCATACATTTTTAATATATTACAACTGACGAAAAAGTTTATTGTAGACAGGAAAAAAGGGATGTTTTTATCTTAGATCTATTCCCTCTCAAACATTTTCCATTTTAGGCAAGAGGGTTCATTACTCTGCCCATAAACAGTACGGTGCCCGATGTCTTCTCACGAATCAAGAAAACGAAGGGCCGGTCAGCTCGGAAGTCAGGAACAACTGAAACCGACTCGAAAGCCACGCCAATGGCCGTAGCAGCCGCCGCCTCGGTTCCTTCCTCGTTGACGTCAACAAAAGCCTCGTGGATCGCCTTGGAGACGAATAGATCTCCACGATTTCCGCCAATTCCTGACAAATCAGCCTCGCGTACTCTGAACATCTTCGACATTCCCATTTGAATAAGAACGGGTTTCAAATCCAACCGCATGTCGCTCAGCTTAAATTTAGGCAGGTACACGTTGACTGTCTGGTCCCACAACGAGGAGATTGCATCATCCACAACTGATGCGCTTGTCAGTGATCTTTCCAGATGACCAAGGTCATCAATTTGGTCTGGGAGGAAGATGACCATACTAGCGTCACCATGGTAGGGCAGTTCCAGAATTTGGCAATTCAGCAAGCTACTGGTTCCATAGGGGAAGCTCTGGCGTTGAAACATCATTGGCACGTTCACCCGATTAAAGCTGGATGTAAAGAATGGTTGGGGAAGGGTGCTCGACTCCGAAAACTTACTGGCCCAAGTTCCCTTAAAATATATAGCGTTCACCAGGATTAAGATGAGCTGGGGGTCGATGAAGTTATTTGGCAGGAGGTCGACAATCTTGTTATTTGTCTGTTGTTCTACCCAGTTGTTGATGTACCTGGTTGTGGCGGATGTCTGTCTAAAGTCCCGTAGGTCTAGTGGAGCATCATAGTACCGTCCACTGTCATCAATGTACTTTTGATTGAAGTTAAATCCTTCTCTTCCAAAGAGCCGATTGGCAATACGGAGGAGGTATTCGTTACCTGGATTGGTAAGTCTAGTGCGGAGGCGTTTGAAATGTTCATGAATGGAAGGGATATTGCTGTAACCCATCACTCTTTCCATCTCTGATCTAGTGCCACCTTTAGCGCCGAGAAGAACCATGCTTAAAGCAGTCGTGATGCTGAATGGACTGAAGAAAAGGTTACCGGAATCGGCCTTTAGAATCTGGTACAGCTTGAAAGCGAAGTTAGTGTTACTGGCAACAATCTGTTGCTCAGGTTTGGAGGCACCCTGCGTTAATGTAGCTTCACCAAGTGTGTTCAAAGACCAGTGACCCATGACCAACGGCAAATAGATAAGAAGAACCGCCGGTCTGATCGATGGATGCATGATGCTTGACCAGTTTTGTCTGAAATTAACCATATTAAACTGTAAGCTTCCAATATCACATGAATGAGCAGATAGTTGTATTTTCATGTATGCCATACGTGTTTGAAAATGCCCATGCATGCTAACAACAACATACAATAGATTATACTGGGCGAGATATTTTATCGTCCTGTCATGAGTTTGATCTGAGACACGAAAGGAACATGTATGAAGAAACGAGCACACACACACACACGCACGCACGCACACACACACACACACGTTGAAATAACATTTCTCTATTGACTAAATTCATCCGTATTTAATCAACTCTATAACCATGCAGACCACGTATGATATTTAGTGATATTTTCCATTAATATGATACCCGTGTGTTATCCACTACAAAACACATGTATCATAAAAATATAAGGAAGTGCATCAATGGATGATTATGAAAAAAAAAAAAAAAAAGAAGAAATATGTAGGGCAAGAAAATATCAGCAAAATTAAAAGTCTAAGACCAGAAAAAAATCAAATGTAATACCTACACATGACCTAAGTCTTTGAAGCAGGACTTACCTTTTATCACGACGAGACGAGATGATACCTCTATGTCAGTCGTTACTGGGACACACGAGGAGTGTATGATTGAATCGTGCCTATGTTTACATATATAAGCCTACTAGAAACAGGATACTAGAATTGTCTCATTTTCACCAATCCCATTTTTGTACTACTCTGATGCTAGAAGTTTGTTTTTTTTTCATCAACAGTTTCGTTAGCGCACGCCCCCTGGTGTGTCACGCACACATAAACATACAAGACCAGTCGCACGTCTTCACATTTACATTTCTGGTTGCGAGATGAATGTGTCAGAATGTGCACATCTCTTTTCACAAATGGATGGGGAAATAAGGTTTTAAAGTATTGCGTAATAATACTTATGGCAAATGAGATTCAATTGATGTATCAAGAGGTCTCTCCTTTTAGTTTCGAAGATCCTATCTTCCTATTTGTGATTTCATGTACGAATAACATGCCAATTTTACTTGTCTTATCAGAAATGGGAGTCTTCTCACTTCTTATTAATTGGCTGGCTGTTATCTTGGATTTAGTCAAGGTAAAGTAGTCTTACTGGAAAACATGCACGTAAAGAAATTCAAGATATGTGGATAAAGCGTTAAGCTGTTAAGGCGTAGCACTGTAAAACTGTCAAAGACGTTTGGAAAAAATGTTAGCGCATTATTGCCTCCAATCCTATGAATGGTGTGTTAACAACATCAGATATCATTGTAATGTTCCGAATACTTTTATGAACTAAATAACATTATTTTTTCTTTGAAGGATCTGTCTTCAGTCATATTTTGTAAAGTATTTTTGGCCTGTTTTAAGGTTTTCTCAGTTACTTATATGTCTAGTTTGATTCCAATCCAGCGAGAAGGACCGCATGTTTCTTCATGGTCTTAAGCCTCGGTCACAACCGGCCGCACGGGTTCTTACGGGCTGTTTGCGTCCAAATTTTGCGCAGAATCTCACGTCCCACGAAAGTCCTTCTTACGCAATTTCGAGTTCGCAGACAGCCCGTAAGCACGTACGGAGGATGTTAGACATGTCCAAAAGATTCTACAAATAGCCTGCGAACAGCGAGGCCGCAGGCGTAACTTGCCCCCTCGCACGGAGTTAAGCCTAGGTCCCAACTACGTTTTGGACGCACGGTTTTCAGGTTCCTTGCGTCCGGCTAGGACGCAGCTAGATCGCACGTAGCGGCTGTTGATCATGTCGAAAAGTTTCTACGTGCTGATTGCGTCCTCCAAAAGCCGCACGATGGACGTGCTCCTCACGCACGAACTCCCACGTTTTCCCCATTTTTTTTTGGCCGTAGACCACACGTAGCAGCCCGTCTGTTTGGTTGGGACCTTGGCTTTAGCAAGAGACGCACGTTGTGCAAGACGCACGTCGTAAGCAATGAAGGAGCGAGAGCACACTGGGAATGCGTCGCACGTGCGTCACCCCCACGCCTGTGTATAAAAGGCGTGCTCACGACGCACGCTCGTGTCTTTACAATGAACGTCGACTGTATAACGTGTACCACAATTTTCAAAATTTTCAAATTTTGGCTCAATTTAGTTTCTAATATGCCTCCAAAAGGCAAGACAAAGAAGCTTACATAGTAGAAAAAAGGGATGAGGAAGAAGAAAGAAGAGGAGAACAGGAAGCAAAACTGACGTACGCCGTCAGTACTTCACCACAAACGTGTGAGGCAAGTCTGAAGCGAAACTGACGCAAAAGGGCACTACGTTGCATGCCCTTCGTAAGTGGTGAGTGTGTGCCACGTACACAGGAAGCAAGACAAACTCAAGAAATGAGTACAATTTCCACGGCCATCGCTCTTTGCAATTAGCGTCCCTGCTTGAAATGACATCTCATGTGGCCCTTGCGACTCGCAAGGCAGACTTTCCTCTACCTCTACGACCTCCACAGCCTCCGCAACACCCAAAAATCGCAGGGGACGTACGATCCTGAAATTCGTGCGTCCAGTTGTGACCAAGGCTTTAGATGAATTTTTGTGATTTAATTTGTGGCTCATTTGCATCTGTACCTGCTTGCCGTAAGTTCGTAAATCTAAAATTATCTCATAACAAATCTTGCCAAATTTTGCATGACCTCATTTTATTTGTCTTTAAATTACAGATTTCATATCAGAGAAACCTACTTTAGACATTGTAAAATGGCGTTTTTTTAATTCCGTGTTTCCTGTCAGAAATTTTGCGTTTAGGCAACAGGGTTTACAACTCTGCCCATAAAGATTACGTTCCCCGATGTCCTCTCGCGAATCAGGAAGACAAAGGGTCGGTCAACCCGGAAAACAGGAGTAGTTGAAAGCGCTGACCCGCCAGCCGCTCCTATGGCCGTGGCAGCCGCAGCCTCGGTTCCTTCCTCGTTCACGTCAACGAAAGCCTCATGGATCGCCTTAGAGATGAACAGATCTCCTGGCTTCCCGCCAATTCCTGACAAATCAGCTGTGCCTAGTGTGAACATCTTTGACATTCCCATTTGAATAAGAACGGGTTTTAGATCTAATTGAATGTCACTCAACTTAAACTTAGGCAGGTACACATTGACTGTCTGGCCCCACATTGTGGACAATGCATCATCCACAACCGATGCACTGGTCAGTGATCTTTCCAGATGACCAAGGTCATCAATTTGGTCTGGGAGGAAGACGACCATACTAGCGTCACCATGGTACGGTAGTTCCAAAATTTTGCACTTCAGCGAAGCACTGGTTCCATATTGGAATCTTTCCTTTTGAAACATCATTGGCACGTTTACCTGGTTCACGTTGTTCGTGAAGAACGGTTGGGGACGGGTGCTCGACTCAGCAAACATACTGGTCCAAGTTCCCTTAAAATATATAGCGTTCACCAGGATTAAGATGAGCTGGGGGTTGATGAAGTTATTTGGCAGGAGGTCGACAATCTTGTTATTTGTCTGCTGTTCTACCCAATTGTTGATGTACCTGGTTGTGGCGGAAGGTTGGTTAAAGTCCTGTACATCTAGGGGAGCATCGTAGTACCGTCCACTGTCATCAATGTAGCTTTGATTGAAGTTAAACCCTTCTCTTCCAAAGAGCTGATTGGCGATACGGAGGAGGTACTCTTTCCCTGGATTTGTTAGTCTAGTGTGGAGGCGTTTGATATGTTCATGAATAGAAGGAATGTTGCTGTAACCCATCACCCTTTTCATCTCTGATCTCGTATCGCCTTTAGCGCCGAGAAGGACCATGCTTAAAGCAGTCGTGATGCTGAACGGACTAAAGAAAATGTTTCCGGATTCGGCCTTGAGAATCTGATAGGTATTAAGAGCAAAGTTGGTGTTACTTTCAACGATCTGTTGTTCAGTTTGGGTGGCATCCTGACCAAGTGTGACCAAGGACCAGTGGTTTATGACCACCAGCAAATGGACGAGAAGAACCGCTGATCTGACCGAAGGATGCATGATTACTCGATCTGTATTCACTGAAATATATACAAAACTGGTTGTTTATTAGTATAAATTTTTCATTTGATGCTCATGTTCAAGGTGCATATATCACGACTGGCAAATACGCATACCTACATCAACTGTACAACTATATAAAATAACTTTACCGACAGGTTTATGGTCCTTCGATAATTTTTTAATCTCTCTATTTAGCACCTGAACATGTGAGCATGAAAAGGTAAATACATGCAAAATGAAAGAGAGAGAAAGAGACAGAGGTCACACAAGAACATATAGCAATTCTCTCTGGACAGATTTCAGCCCATTTTTCAATATAACATGTAACCAACGCACAATATATTAAAATGATAGCCCGTCTAAAGTTTTTCCCTGCAAATACGATAAAAGTAAATAAATAATTAGCAAATTAATTTAAACAGCAGAATAAGGAAAAGACGAAGTTTCGAGTGAAAGTTCAGAAAACAACATCGAGCTATGCATATGTCCAAAGTGTATGAAGCAGGACTTACCTTTTTATCACGTCGAGAACTTTATGTCAGCCACCAACGTAACATGTAATCGAGCTTGTACTGTTCTACGTGGCCCTTTATATATGCCTATTAAAAGCAGGATAGTAGAATAAAAGTTATTTCCTTATAATTTGTTACCTGTCTGACAATTCCAATTTCGCAATGGGTGTGTTGTTTTTTTTAATCCACAGTTTCGTTAACACCACTATTAACTTTGACGCTTTTGTTCAACTTAAACCCGTGCAATTCTTGCCCGTCTGTAATTCTGGTGACATACAATGTAGAAGACGATATTTGCACTAATATGAGGAGGAGATGCAGCATCTATATACAAACTAATGTTCACCATGAACTGGACAAACTGGCAGCTGGGAATACCGTCTACAAGGGTCACAGATTGCTTTCTATTTTCACTTAATATTCAAAAATATGCCTCGGGCGAATTCTGTGCACTATCTATTGTGACCAGAGATTTGGGTGCTTTTTGTATGGGATTAATGTTATCACTCAGCTGGGCTTTAGTATAGAGTAGTCACTCAGAGGGATAGTACCTGTAGTACTAACCGGCTGTTTGCTGATAGACATTAACAAAGATGGCATCATACCCCGTCAGAATCTAACGAAGCTGTTGCTCTATGGTGTAGACTGGCATTTGGAGTAGGCAGCCAGCTACAGAAAACGCTGCGTTTGTTTTGTCACTGTGCTAGGTGGACCTCACTCCGAACTGTTCAAATGCAACATTTAGTAGCTTTTATTCATACCAGGGTCATTTGCCCGTTTGTATCTCTTCAATACCTGTAGCTTAACGACTGAAGTACATGTAATTCAATACGTCTTGTCCGCGTCCTCTGCCACACACAAGGCCTTAACCATGACCTCGTAGTCTCATTTAACAAATTTCACACTATTTGGTTACAATACGTATGTTACAAATTCATGAAATAATGTATTATATAAAAAAAATACGCTAATGCATGGGGTCGTAAATTTCCTTGCTGTTGAGTACGAAAATGTTGTTAATTTAGTTCGGATATAAATGAGGGTTCAAAAAGGGGAATGGCGATTAGCCTACATTGCATCCAAGTATATGCTTCCCTTAATAAATAAGTGAAAATAAAAAAAAGTTTCAAATGATAACCGATGAGAACAGATATTGAATGAATCACGTTACCTGATTGTAGCAGACTAGACCTGGGGCACGTCTTGTCACTTATAGTGTCTGGTTGAAGGAAGCATCTTGCAAGGGTGTGCGTATATTTTTACAAATGAATAAGGAAATAAGGTCTTCATGTTTTGAATA